CCATTCTCAAATGTAAAAGTAAACATGAACTAAATATAAGCTCAAAATTAAAAAATAATATTATAAAAGTGTTATAATATATCCAATAAAAAGTAACCTATTTGATAAGTAGATTGCAATATAAAATAAACAGATCTCTTATGATAAGTTTTCACACTCTGATCAGAGTGTGAAAATTTATTCTAGAGAGATCTACTTTGCTAATTTTAGACTTACAAGTAACTCATGGCCAAATCTAAACATGGTAGTAAAACAAGAATATAAATAACACCTAGAGTTTTAAATATCAAATAATTATATAAACACATGATTATTTTATCAATAATCACATAAGATCACATGCATCCAATTAACAATCATATAAAAGTCTCATGATTATATAAATAATCACATTTTTTATTAAATCGAACAACTCAGCCCATATGTAATAAATTCAAAATTAATTTAGATGATATTTAAACAACAATTAGGTGATGTTTAGACCTTTAAACATATTCAGATTGATGTTTAAACAATATTTAAAGTATGAATTTTATTCCATCTGAATCAATGTGACGACCACGCCCTAGTGAAGTTTGACAAGTTACTTTCTAAATTAGAAACAACGAATAAGCAAGTGATTAAGAAATGAAATTAATGATGACATTTTTTTTAAATAACTTACGTAATACATTTTTATTGTAAATATTTAAAAAGAATTTTTGTGTGAAAAAGCATAAAAGTATTGATCCGCGGATTAATCATTTCAATTAATAACGTGTAACCAGACGTAAATCATAATTATAAAATGGGCATACTGATAAGATCAGGTGGATTGTACAGAACGAACGTGATTGTACCGTGTTACGTATGAAGTTTAGGTACTGTGCGACAGATGGATTGTACGAACTGCTACAGTACGATCAGGTGGATTGTACTGTATGAACGAACTTTTAAATGATCAAATTTTTTCTACATCACACAAATTTTAGAGGTATAAATTACGTTCGTTTATATGTATACCCTTTAAATGATACATAACACAAATTTTATACGTTCGTACTGTACAATCCACCTGATCGTACTGTACAGTTTATCATCATACCTTAGAAAATGGGCTCAAACAAGCATGATTTTTTAAAATAAATAATAGTATGGTAGTAAAAAGTTATATAAAAAGAAAAAAAATTTTGTGTTCCGTCTTACTAATATTGTTTTTGAATCAGTTGGAATCGTGAGCCTACTTAAAATACAAGCTTTTATTATTTAACAGATTTGAATAAATCATTAATCTTATTTTTCATATTTTTATAGATTTTATAGAAATGGGAAAGATCGATGAAATTTTATTGGAATTAGAAGTATTGGATCATCACTGTTAACAAGAACCTTGGATCATTGTCTTGACCGTCACTATAAATACAAAGTCTCTGATCTCTGCTGTTCCATTGAGATAAATAATGTACCCACATCCACGATTTAATTTATATTATTCTTTGTGGATAAAATTTTTAACACACAATATTTTTATAGTAATCCTACAATTATTCGGTTATTTTTTTTTTTTTAAAAAAAAAATCACCGTGTAAAAACTCTATAAATAGTCACCGAAGAAGACACTAAGGGAAAGATCATTATGAAGAAATAAAATAGGATTTTTTTCATTTATTTCAATATCAAAGAAAGATTAATTGATTAAATTATTAAATATATAAATATATTTTACATATTCTGTATATTTTATTCCTAATTTGGATAATAAATAATTCAAATCCATTATAAAAATAGAGGATCATCTAACTCCTGACCTGTATTACAAAAATTGAAAAAACGCCGAATCTATCATTTCCATTTCATCAATTTCATCATTTTTAGATAAACAATTAAATTAATTTATATTATATTGTTTTTATATTGTTCTTTTATCTGAGTAATCCAATCAATTAAAATTTTTCATCGAAATATCATTGCTTATTGTCATCATCAATTATTATAACTCGTAATTTTCATAATAATAATAATTTTTCAACTTTTACTATTAATTTGAATTCACAAACTTCAACAAATTCACACAAATAATTCCAACTCGACTTCGAACCCTTTCTGATCAGATTGCTGCTATCGAAAATATTTCTAATTTTGGTAAAAATCAGCATATACCAATCGATAATGAATCAAATGAAAAATTTAAAGAAAAATATCACATAATTTTTAATGCACCTATAAGAAACGCTTTCGCTTATGGAAGTGGAGGTTTTCCCAAAAAGGATATGATAAAAAAGTCATATTTTATTATTATTATTATATTATTATTATATTATCATATTATTATTATATTATTATTATATTATTATATTATTGTAATGTTATTGTTAACTTGCATGATCTTAATGAATGATGTCTTTTCAAAAGTTTAAGCCAATGGTAGATTTCATCTTTGCGGTTAGTTATCCATAACATTGGAAATATTTCTGAATAGTTGAAAAGTTGGGACAAAATTAGTCGAAACTGGAGAAATAAATCTAACTGTGAATAAATCTTACCGCGCACATACCATATATCCTAAACTATTATTAATATTAATTGTTGAATCATATCTGAGCAAGAAAAGAAAACGTCACTTTATTAATTTTTTACCAACAAATTACAAGAAAATACCTCATAATGGAATATAATCTAAAGAATTTAATACTTTATATGTCACTGATTTTCTCATGGACATTTTCAAAGGTTAAGGACTTATTGAGTTAACAGCTGCAAGTTATCGTGATTTGATTCATTGATTTTATCATTTTATCATAAATTTAAAATTATCAAGATTAAAACAAAAAAGAACTGTATGTATTATTGTATCAAATCTTTGGCACATGATCAACATGCTATAAATCACGTGATTAAGACTTATTATCTCCTAACTACACAATTAAACAATCCCCATATTTATTATATTTATTTCTCCTCTACTTTCACGTTGCAAAAGATCCTCTCACATTTCTTGAGACATTTTTTTTTGTATAGGATTAAATGAAACGTACATTCAAGAAATGCCTTTATTTCGGGAGTTATTCATTTTACAGTTGTTCTATTATTATAATTTCCTTGAAAACCTTTATAAAATATTTTATGGTTAATGGAAATATAAATATTTTTATAATTAGAGTTTATAAGATAAAAAAAAAAAAAGGAAGATTCGAATATTGATTAAATTTTGAAATCAGATTCATATCCAAAATTTTTTTCTTGAAAATAGGTTGTAAAGAAAAAAAACAAGTTACCTCTTTGATCTTGAGATAATATTCATTGGAGTATATTTAATAGGTCAACAATAAAAAACATCATAAAAAAAAAATACAAAAAGAAATCCTGCTTGCGAAATCTACTTACTTATTTGAACAATTTATTAATTTCGGTATTGTTATCTAAAAAAAATATTGAAACGATTAGTATAAGATTCCAAAATAAATAAAAAAAAATACTTACTTTTCAATAACCGGAATTTTTCAATATATTTGGTTTTGTATGTTGAGTAATCATTGGGGTTGGTTTATAAAATTCTTTCTATAGTGAAATTTGCTCATGTACCAAAACCTCATAATCCTATATCATTTTCTTCATTTAGCCAAGTCCATTTGTGATAATACTTTTTATAACTTGATCTATGAATTAACATATTTATTTTTTAATTATGTAATCATATGCAACTATTTGGTTGGATATGCATCTTACCAGATGAATCATCATAATACAAAGAGAACAAATCTATAAAAGAATAATTTATGAATCTAATAGCGTTAAAGATAAATAAGGAGAGTAATAAAATAAAGAAACCTTTTTATTAAAAAGTATAATACTATTAATATTAACAAAGAAATGTGTATGTCATAATTAATCAAGGTTTAAAAAAAAATTATTACGCAGGATGACACAAATTTACTTAATAATACAATAATCTTAATAAATATTACAATAATAGTACCTATCATATTTTACTTTATAAATTACAAATCGGGATATTTTAGAACAATGTCAAATACCAGAATGAAAACTTGTAATATTTTCAGGCGCGAACTTACGATTCGAGAAATCATATGAAAATTATAAGCTTACAGGTAATTGATTTATGTACTGTATATAAAATTTTTTTTTTTTTTTTTTTTTTACAAAAGTATGGAGAAAAAAAAAATTTTTTAATCCCGGGGATTTAATAGATAAATCCCCGATTTTTTTGGGGGGTTTTTTTTCTATCCATATACGACATATTTTAAATAACTATTTTTTTAGATTGTTTTCTATAAACGTGTATTTCGTGTATATAATAAACAGTACATCATATTTACTGCACAATTATAAAAAATAATAATTATTATTTATTTTTGGTTATTAACTTAGGAAAAATACCAAGGAGTTTAAGAAAAATTATAATTAATAATTAAATAATTACGAATTTAACTTTCGTGAACTGTATTTTAATTAGAGTATTTTTCAACCAATCACCAGTTGCACAATTTTTTTGTGATAATTAAATAATTAAATAAACAAATTATCTAAATGACATTCCCTTTCTAATAAATTTATAATACAATACGGCAGAATAAGTTTTGCCCCATCCGCTTATCTCCTTCAATTGTTTAAAAAAAAATTCCCAAAATTTATATTCTTTTTCATTTCCTAAATTTGAGAAATAAAGAATTCCATAATTAGGGTTCCATAATATTTTCATTTCTTTTTATTAAACAAAGTCCTTAATAATATGTTTTTCTGAATACAATTATTCAAAAAAATATAAAATGAAATATTTTTTCGCCTTTTTTTTTTTGAATTTGAAGTCTTTATATCATTTTTTGAATGATAAATCCCGTGTTACACAAACCAGCTTCAATTCTTGTTTATTACACTTAATTTTGTTTATTTTTACACAGTTTTAAATAGTAACTTTAGGAATAGACCATAGTAGAATTCCTTTTCTCTCTTTCTTTGTCATTTATAAAATTGTAAATATTAAAAAAAAAAATTTTATAATAATGATGAAACTTAGAAAGAAATTAATGTTAATGTTTTCATGTTTAAGTTTATTATTTGAGCCAAAAGTTTATGCAAAGGGAGGTGGAGCAGGCACAGGTGGCAGTGGCGGTAGTACAAGTAGCGGAGGTAGTTACACAGGCAATCGAAATTATTCTTCAGGTTCTGGATGGGTCTTTTGGTATTATTCTACAGATGGAGGAAGAAGTTGTGGAAATTATTGTATAATCGCATTTTCAATAACAGGATTTTTAATTTTATTGGTAATATTGTGCGGTATTTGGAGATGTCGTGAAATACATAAAAATAGTAAACGTGAAAGTAGATTTGATATTGAAGAAGGTTTATCTGACAATGACGATGATGATAATTATATTAGAAATAATCATAATAATCATTACAATAATGATCCAAGACCTTCTTTATATCCACCTTTACCTAGTAATAATAATAATAATTATTCACCATCATCACCTTCATCTATTAATAATAATTATTCAACAACAAGACCTATATATCCTCCTTTATATCCTTCTTTATCAAGAACACGTTATACATCACCTCCCGCATATGATAATGTTTCTTCCGCGCCTGAACCATCTCATCTTCATGGATTAAGACATGAATCCACTTGGGATGCATATAAAGCAGGACAAAAATTTTCTCGAGAAAATCCAGTAATTGAAGATAAACCACCACCAGATCACATTAGATATATATTATCATTAGGACCAAAAGCTTGGAAAATGGTATTAGAAGAAAATGTTATGAAATCAAAACTTGCAACAATTTATAATAATGGACTTAGAATTGAATTTCATAAAAAATTGGATGTAACGGTACAAGCAAATTATCCAATGGATAAAATAATTAATCCTTCAGATAATTATTCAGATAGTGAAAGTGAAGAAATTCAAGATGTTATAACGCCAACATCAATTACTGGATTATACGAAGAAAAGAATATATTACCAACATATTCACAATCAAATAAGAATAATTTTTTACAATTTCCACAACCTATTCATATGGATGACACGCATTCATCATCACGAAATAAAATAGCTCCTGATGATATGATGACGATACGATCAACCACTTCAAAAGGAGGAGGGAGCTCAAGAGGAGGTACTCCAAAAGGAGGAAGGACCCCAAGAGGAGTTACTCCAAGGGGTTCTCCAAGAAATTCTCTAAGAGCAGTCACGCCAACAAGAATATCAATTTCATTATTTTTATATTACGAGATAACTATATTGTCAAATCCTAATAAAGATACCACTATAGTTATAGGATTAGCGACTAAACCTTATCCAAGTTTTAGGTATTAAAATTTATTTTTATTATTTTTTTTTTTAAAAAAAAACAAAAAAATTAATTTTTTTTTTTTTTTTTAGATTACCAGGTTGGCATAAAGAATCTGTAGGATTTCATTCAGATGATGGACATAAATTTCATAATGAAAGTTATGGAGGAAAGACTTATAGTGATTCATGGGGTTCAGTTGGTGATGTTATGGGGTGCGGTTATTATCCTGATACGGGCATAGTATTCTTTACTAAAAATGGAATAAATTTAGGAAATGCTTTTACAGGATTAAGACATATATGGTTTCCAGCTGTTGGGGCTGATAATAAATGTAAGATAGAATTAAATTTTGGTAGCGGAGAAAAAAAATTCTGGTATGAAGAAGCCAAAGGAACTAGTGTTATGGGATTTTTTAAATCTTCAAATACCGAAACCTATGATTATGAAGAATTTAATAAAGAAAAAATTTGAAGAATTTAATAAATAAAAAAATTCTGAAGAATTTAATAAATAAAAAATTTGAAGAATTTAAGTACGAAGAATGTTATAAGATAATCACCACTGGAGGGTTCATATACAAAACCATAAGTACTGATGTGATTAAAGTGAGGGAGTGAGGAAAGTGCCTTTTGGAATGGTCAACTTTATTATAAAAACAAAAAAACTGTTAATTGTTCCGGATCAAATAATAAACATATCAAATGCATAAATATTAAATATAAAAATATTAATTTTCATCATTTTAAACTAAACTAATTAATTCTATAATTTTAATTTATTTATTAATTGTAAATAGTAATTTTAATTTATTATTTTACTATATACCATTACTATATTAATATATATATATATTATAACATCTTATGTATTTTATTGTATTTTTACTGTATTTTTATTGTATATATGTTATCATTATTATTTTATTAGATTAATATAATAAAGGTTATCATATTTATATTTATATTATAAAAAATTTTAGACGCATAAAATAGAAGTTGTGCATGTGGTCTATCTTCTCAATGAGAAAAAACCTGCATTCGGGACTCCATCGTTCATTTGGTTCTTCATCAATCGATATTTCTTCAGTTTCGAGGTTTTTAGAATGATAATAAAGTCGAAGTTCTTATGGCGAGTGAATTTTAATATAGTCTCTTAAAGCACTGTGTGACTATAAGGGGGTTCTTATACAGGGGTGCCTTTAGAGAGGTCGACTGTATAAGATATTTTTAAGAGAAAGAGAAAATTCGTTCGTATTGTTTATTTCAATTCTAAAAAATTTCGCGTGAGAAAAAAAAATGTAGTGAAATTCAAATATGGTTAAATTTTATTTCTTGTTTAGATGAATTTTCGATATAACACATGATAATTCATTTATATCTTTTTAAAAAATTTCACCATAAATATTATATTATGATTATTATATATGAGGTCTAGTCTAGCCTAATATTTTAATAAATCTATAATCATCATTATTTACTTCAGATCAAATTTGATAACAAGAGATTTTCTACTAAATTATTTCTAATACCATTCAAAAGATCTGATTTCTAGTTTTATATTCAAAAGCTTTATTTAAAACTTTACAATAGTGGTTAAATTATTATTATTATTATTTAAGTATAATATTTGTTGAGAGAAAATTTTTATTAAAATACTTAAACTTGTAAATTTACCATTAAGCTAATTTCAGGTTTTGAAATTTATTTCAAATTTCCGGATTAATTTTTAAAGTCAAGAGTCATTTTTTGTTTATATAAACAAAAAATGGTTTAGATTAGACTACTATAGTTCAGGTATGTGACCTGACAACAAAAGTTGGCCACTGTCATTATGTGATCTGATGACAAAAGTTGGCCACTGTTATCATGTGGCCTGATGACAAAAGTTGGCCACATGTGAACTATTATATATCAAGCATTTAGTTACATGTCATCATTTGCAGGTTCAATGTGAGAGCTATATCCAAACCTGGCATGCCTTGCCTTAGCTTTCTAGTTAATTTCTCTATAATGACCAGTGTTGAGACATGTAGTGTTGAAATAGTATTCATAATTTTTTACATAATGCACTTGAATATTGATCAAGGATAAGGTACATAGTGTTGAACTGTTAGCTGTTATAATGTACTCGAATATTACCCAATAATGAGACATGTAGTACCAAATTGTTAGCAATTATTAGCTTCACATGATTCATTCAAATATTACTCAATAATGAAGTACGTAGTGTCAAATTGTTAGTAGTTATTTGATAGATATTTAAAATATAATTTTATATTATATATATCTGTAATAATTTTATCTTGACATGGTTATCGATCTAGGATAAGACACTACGTGCTAAATATTATCTCACTTGATAAATACCCAAAACATAATTTTTATAATATATATTTTTCTGTAATAATTTTATTTTGGATATCTACTATTAGTATACTATGTTTTACAATTTTAAAAATATTTCCTGCATAGTTGATACTTTTGAATACTATCACTTCATGTTAAAAATACTTTGGGATACTATTAATTTTTAATCCAAAGCATAATTTTACTTTGACATACTACTAAATACTAATTATATTTTATAATTTTTAAACCATTTGTCATATAGTTGATATCTTTATACTAGTAGACATTGTTACAGAATGAAATTATCATGATCAGAAAGTATAGTATACAATATCAAAAATACCTGCAAATAATTAATAATACCTTTAAAGAATAGTAATGTTTAAAATTTAATTAATAAATATTAATTTAGTTAACAAATAGTAATATTTTAACTAATATTTATATCCAGTAATACATACTAATTAATCACAAAATAGTAGTACAAGATTACGTTTTCATATGATATCTAGTTACATGAATACAATTATTAATTCATAACATTAATTATTAGTATATACTATTATTTAACAATAATTATTAATATCTATTATCAATTAGGATTAAATATATAGTATAAAGAAATAGTAACTAATAAAAGTAGTATACAATAAAGTACAGTAATATACAGTAAGACACAGTAGTAACACAGTAATGAAGATTATTAGGTTTAAGTATAAAAAAAGAACTGAAATTATCAACATAACTAAATTTCACTTTTTGATCTTCAAGTTATATAAAATTTATTTATAAAATTTATATGATTTTACATTTGTCTATATAGTATTATATGAAAGATATATCTATTTTTAATAATATTTTGTGAAATATTTTTTCTCATATTATTCTATTACTTTATGGTGAAGATCATTTGAGATCATTTGATTTGTAAAAGTTATTTTAGAAATGTATTTCAAAGATAATACATGTATAATATTTTATATATTTAATAATTTTATACTATAAAATTTTATTACTAATTTTTTATATTATTAATTTCAATTACTAATAAAGATAATATATCTGTTTTTTTACTTTTTATTTTTTTGAGACTTCTTCCTTCTCTAAAATATTTTCAGTATCATTTAAATCTTCATTTGTAATTATATCTACTCATTTTTCAAGCTTTTTTAAAAAAAAATTTATATTATCAAATATATCTTTCTTATAAAAACTTTACAATAGATATATCTTCCACTGTAATAAAGTAAATGGTAACCATGATTACAAATAAGTATTGTACTATTGTTATTATCTAAAGAAAATTCACATATATCACATAAATCAAATTTTAATAAATGTGAAAAGTTATACATCAGAAAATTTTTTCTAGTGAAAACCTTTGAAAGTTAATGTTAACATAAGTATTTTGTTGTTTTTCAATATGTTATCTTTCGAAGGTTATCAATTTTGATATTTTCACGTGATGAAATTTTGTAAATATTATCATTTTCATAGTAAATCATATTGATAACCTTTGAAAATTTATCAATTTTGATATTTTCATATGTGAAATTTTATGAATATTATTGTTTTTGTAATAAATTCGTATTGATAACCTTCAAATATTATCGATCACTGGTCAAAAATTGATAAAATATATACATATCAGATACCTGATATGTGTATGTTTTATTAATTTTCGACCAGTGGATTTTGATATCTTCATATGCAAAATTTTACAAATATTATTATTTTTGTAGTAATTTCGTATCAATAACTTTTGTTTATATTAGATATTTACAATATATCATTTCAATAGTCATCACTTGCATTTATATCACTACGATTTTCAATTGATATTATACTGTTAATGATATTTTTTGAAGTTTATTGTAGAAATTTTAATTGACATTGTATTGTTAACAATGTCTTTTGAAGTTTATTACAACAATTTTAATTGACATTATACTGTCAATGATATCCTTCGAAATTTATCATAACAATTTTAATTGACATTGCATTATCAACGATATCCTTCAGAAGTTTATCGCAATAATTTTAATTGACATTGCACTGTTAACAATATCCTTCAAAGTTTATCATAGTGAAATTACATTGTTAACAATATCTTTTGAAATTTATCATAACAATTAAGGTTAGTATTTATGTTTACTGAACGTAATTATATTATTGTTATAATTTTATTAGATATTATATTGATTCAAAGTTTATTAGTATTAATACGTTTCCAAAACCTTTGATGATTTAATATATTATAGTTAAAGATTTTTAGAATAACTAGACAATTAACAAATATCTTTTAAAATTTATATCACTACATTTTAATTAACATTGATATCCTTTGAAATTTATCATATTGTTGATTATTGTTTCAAATTTTTTTTGAAGGTTAATTTTTTTATTTGTGCAATAAGATCAGTTATCTCATATAATTTATTATTTAATTATATATTCTTTTATTTATTTCTAAATAATCCATACAAAATTACAAAACTCTTCGAAAAGAAATAAATTTATATCTTTGTATTTTTGTTATTGTTATATCAAAATATATTAAATAAAAGACAATAATTTAAAATATATTTAATAATATTTATTGACTTGCGTCAACTTTATTTTATAACTTAACAAGTAAATAAATATATTTTGTACTTTATTTACTTTCAGGAATACCTCATTAA